TGGCAAAGCCAGTCACAGAGCCCACAGTAGTTTAATCATAAAAACTTTGGGTAATGTGATAATGTGTATCTCATGATGATCATTTCCTGCAGCCTTTGGTCGTTTGAACATGGTGTGATGAACACTCTTTCTATTCATATACAGCTTCCTATGGGAGCTGTTGTTTAATAACCCCACACATCCACGTGCTTTAGGACGTAATTACAACTTTGATTTAGAACATAAGTGAATGGGGCTCGGACTTTTGGAAAATGAGACTTTTCAGAGAACTTACTGGTCTGTTTCTGGATAATTGGCCACGTGTTTGGTAATGTGGGAATCATAGTCTGCAAGATCTGGAGTGCTGAATGTTACCCATCATGTACCAACCCTTTAGAGCTGGGCCAGAACCTCCCAGGACCGGCTTTATTGTAATCTTTCCAGTTAGAGAATGTGACTGTTAGCACTTTCCGGATCTCATTGGGTGCTGGGTTATTATTGTAGGTGAGCAAACTTGACGATTGTGGATGAGAAATCTGCCACCTGAAGCATTCTGTGCTGGTTTGATCATTTAAGAATAGATTTTTCTTTTTAGTGGTTTGAGTTGCTGGGCCAGCCAAGGTGATCTCATTCTTTCAGAATAAGCCCTGCTGGTTTAGTAACATTTCCCAGAAGTAAACATCTGTTGAATCAGAGCGCTGGGTCAGTGCTCACATCCTGTACAGCCTTGAGTTTCTGCTGAATCCCTCTCTAGTGGACCTACACACCTGTGACTACCTGGCCTCCTGGCTTCTGGGAAGTAGCAACAAATGTAGAAATGGGGCGGGCAGGTTCCCACAGGTTTTACCATCACGTGGAGCTGTGGTTTTTCATACTTACAAGCAGTGTGCGAAGCTATAACACACCTGATTTCTACACTGCTCAGGAAGTTCACTCAGCCTCATCCACCACAACATTTGTATCACAACTGTCGCTAGCTGTTATGTTGCAGTGTGAGCCGCTTCCTTCTACTCGGTATAATGACAAACCTGTGGGAGGTGTGACAGACCGTAATCAACAGATTACATTAAGTGGAAATCCAGTCAATATGAATAAGACCACGTCTGTCAGCCACAGAATTGTGAAAGGCTAAAGATAATGATCAGTTTGTTACTCTTAACAGCGATCCGACCCAGCTACTGTTACACTGCAACTCCCATCATCCTTGTCTGTTCCCAGTTTTGTTCGTTAGAAATGGCATGGGCCAGTCCAGTTTCCTATAATATATTCTCTATTCTTTATTTTGGCTATACAAAATGTTGGTATTTAGGCTAGGGTCTCATCTTTAAGTCTTGCTCACCCCCAGGGTAGACGTTATAATTCTGGGTGGTCTGGTTTATATTGCTAAGTGTGTGTCCCTTTATTTCAGGTTGCAGGCCATACATTGAACATTGTTTCTAAAGCCAGTCTTTCACTTGTAGACACGGGCATTTTTATTGATCAAGTTTGGGTGGATCTGTTTGCACACATTTTGTAACTGATTTCACAAGAAAAGAGGATGTTGTATTGATTGATTGTTTTTTTTTTTTTTAGAGATAACATAATGGGTGTGCAAGATTTTTGTTTGTTTATTTTGATCACTTTGTTTCTACGGTGTGTGCGGTGGTTATGGTGGCTGTATGTTGGACATGGTGCTAGTAAAGCTTGTACAGCCACTGTCCCAGTTATATAGGGATCATTTAGAGTACTTATTATACAATACATGCCGTATAACTGCATTTGTAAATTAGTAGGAGCAGGGGTTTGGAGCGGAGTGAAGCTTCTCTTGAGGCCACAGTAGGTTTAGCTATGGCGCCATCGTTGCCAGCAGTGCTGTTACCTGTGTGACTGTTTAATCTGAGGAACGTGTACACGCATAGCCCTTCTATGTTTGTAACGATGGCTTACAATCCAAGAGGGCCATGTGTCCCTGAATGTCACAGCCTGTGTTAGCGACAGACAGCCATTGTTTTGACAGTTGTGACTGCCTTAAAACTGCCTGAGAATCATGGGAAATGTAGTCCACTAGATGTGATTTATCATAATGTGAATTCTGTGCGGATTTTTTTTCCAGTGTCGTCAATTTCTTGTTCTACTTTTAAACCATAAACCCCCACGCAAGACATGCGTCAGACGGAATCCGCGGCGGAGTCTGACCATTACATCAGCAGTTTGTGTCTTTGCATTTTAAAGATTAGGAGATGGGAAAGCTATGACTCACCTATCTCCCACTACTGGGTGCTGTGTAATGTTTTGTCTACTGCTTCCCACACACACATTCCCCTCCCCACCATTAAACATGCTTCTTCCAAAGAAACTTGACTTCTAGGTGGATGCCACTTGGCTTCTTGTGATGTCATGGTCCCGTGGCCTCTATTCTCCTAGTGATTGGATGCTGCAGTGAATGATGCCTTCACTCGCAATCGGTGGAAAGCAATGGTGGCAGCTCCTTCACCCCCCAGATGAGCAGAAAGCTGTGTGTTGTGGCCTCTTCTAACCCCGATGATGAATGGAAAGCTGTGTTATGGCCTCTTTGGAGATTGCCATTTTTCCCCCACATAGAGCACCAGTTTGTAGACAGTTTGTGCTTTCCGCCGGGCGCTCTATGCTTCCCGTTGGGGACTCTCTGCTTCCCGCCGGGGGGGGGTCTGCTTCCTGTTGGAAGTGAGAGAAGAGGAGGTGGAACTGAATGACATCTGACCTTCCTGTCCTGCTTTATAATGAATACAGAAACTAGGGGACACAGAGAGAGAGGGTTTATATTGTATTTCATCAGGTATGTGCACGTCAAAGTGAACTTCAGCAGACAGGATGAGGTAATGCCGTATCCAGTAATGTACCTTTAAACATTTCATTCAGTTTTTAACTTTTTGTGTTGTCGTTGTTACAAACATATGTTTAGAGACACTGCTATGTGCAAGAGCCGTGCGCGCATTCAGCCAATCCATAGGAAGGCTTTCTCAATGCTTTGCTACGGACGCTGGCGTCTTCTCACTGTGAAAATCACAGTATGTCACAGTATGTAAATGATCTTGAAATAGGCATTGGAAGCCATGTTTTAGTATTTGCAGATGACTTTGTAAAGTAATAAAATGTGAGCAGGATATTTGCTGCAGAGGAATTTAAATAGATTGGGGGACTGGGCACTAAAATGGCAGATGTAATTTAATATAGAGAAATGCAAAGAATGCACAAGCAATTTACACCCTAAATTACACCCTTATTTTGAGAAATTGTGAGTACATTAGGGATAACCACATACAAGAAGGATTTGGGAATTGTTATAGACAACAAATTAGGCAGCAATATGCAATATCAATCTGCCGTTGCTAAGGCCAGTAAGGTTTTGTCATGTATAAATAGCGGGATGAAAATATAACGTTGTCTCTTTATAAACACCTTGAATATGCTGCAATTGGATAAATGCTTGCAAAACCATAATATACAGGGATATCATTTCTAATTAGTGGGGTAATAGCTGCTTGATCCAAGGAGACATCTGACTGCTATTTTGAGGTCAAGAAGGAATTTTTTCCTAGTTTGTTGCAAAATTGGAAGCACTTCAGACTGTTTTTTTTGCCTTCTTTTGGATCAACAGCAAAAACATATGTGAGGAAGGCTGAACTTGATGGACGCAAATCTCTTTTCAGCTATGTAACTTTGTAACATGCGGTATACAGCTTAACGTACAGTATTCAGCTTAATTTATGGTATACAGCTTAACGTACTGTATACAGCTTAATAAATCACTATGAGGTGATACTGATTGGCGCAGTAACCTCCCACGGGAAAGCATTCGATTGGCTGAGATCATCAAACTTCATAACCTCAGCAGGGCCATCCGCGGCAAAACTGGTACAGTGCAGGGGAAAAAAGGTGAGTAAAACACCTTATCCATGCAATTGGAGCTGGCCAGACACAAACACCCACACACACATTCTCACAAATTGTTGTTGTTTAAAAAAAATGTGTAATCTTCAAGCTCTTTTTGCTCTGCTCCCTCGCGCATGGTTTAGTGATGCTGGGCCGGGGTGATGTCGTCCAGCTCCTAGCATCACTGCAGGTCATGCGAGGGAGCAGAGCTGGAAGATTGCAGTTCCCTCGTCGCCAATTTACATTCCGGCCACCTGCCTCCATGCTCTTTCAGCCACTGGATGACACTGAGGGAACAGGCTAACAAATCCACATTGCAAACAGTCCTCAATACTTACTACATCCCGTTACAAACAGTCCTGGATACTTACTGCATCCCGTTGCAAACAGTCCTGGATACTTACCACATCCCGTTACAAACAGTCCTGGATACTTACCACATCCCGTTGCAAACAGTCCTGGATACTTACCACATCCCGTTGCAAACAGTCCTGGATACTTACCACATCCCGTTACAAACAGTCCTGGATACTTACCACATCCCGTTACAAACAGTCCTGGATACTTACCACATCCCGTTGCAAACAGTCCTGGATACTTACTGCATCCCGTTACAAACAGTCCTGGATACTTACCACATCCCGTTACAGTCCTCGATACTTACCACATCCCGTTGCAAACAGTCCTGGATACTTACCACATCCCGTTGCAAACAGTCCTGGATACTTACTGCATCCCGTTACAAACAGTCCTGGATACTTACCACATCCCGTTACAAACAGTCCTGGATACTTACCGCATCCCGTTACAAACAGTCCTGGATACTTACCACATCCCGTTGCAAACAGTCCTGGATACTTACTGCATCCCGTTACAAACAGTCCTGGATACTTACCACATCCCGTTGCAAACAGTCCTGGATACTTACTGCATCCCGTTACAAACAGTCCTCGATACTTACTGCATCCCGTTACAGTCCTCGATACTTACTGCATCCCGTTACAAACAGTCCTCGATACTTACTGCATCCCGTTACAAACAGTCCTCGATACTTACTGCATCCCGTTACAAACAGTCCTCGATACTTACTGCATCCCGTTACAGTCCTCGATACTTACTGCATCCCGTTACAAACAGTCCTCGATACTTACTGCATCCCGTTACAAACAGTCCTGTATAAACTCACTGCATCAGTTACTCTTGCGGTCCTCTGTAATTACGGTTTCCATGACATTCATGATCTTTTATACTTTATCGATAACACTTGCGGCAACCTATAATTACTACTTCTGTTACACTTGAGGTACTCTGTACTTGCTGTTACACCTGTTTGACTGTCTTACGTAACACCTACAGGACCAGTCATGGGTAAATCTCCTCTAACTTTGACAGTCCTGGAGGAGGTATAGTGAGACAGTTGAAATCATTTTGTCTCTCCATTGAAAGTGTTGGTCAGGATAAATTATTAAGAGAAGATATCAACTGGCAAGCAAATCACAATTTAATCTTCCTAAACCTTATCTTTGATTCTTAAAACATTTTATTGTTTTGAAACACAATCAACAAAGGGTGATAAGATGTGACATTTTGGGCTTGTGAAGGAAGAATAGCAAGTTCAGTCATATGTGGAAGTTAATTCCAAGAATAGAAGGCTTGAAATCGCAACTGTATGCAAATAGACACTTCTAGCACACACAGTTCTCTCACTCCAAGTAGTATGACGGGTTCCTATAAATCAGAGATCTCAAGCCATGGTGTTGCATAGGTTTCCGGCCATTCTTTGCAAGTCCCAGCCCTTGCCATTATTGAATCCTGCGAGGAGATATGGCTATCAGTCTCTAATTGCCCATACATGATATTTTAGAGGTTTTAGATTAATTGTTTGACTTTACTGGTTACATAGCAATCCGCAGAAAATTAGTCCTGACATTTAACGTTCATTTATTTTAAAGGTAAGTAAATGAACACTGTAGTAATATGCCGACAGTCCAATAAAGCCATTCAGAGAAGTAACATGGCATAATCACAGTCCTCACTGTAGTGAAGTTTAGAGGTTCTTACTCAGGAACTAGATTTAAATGAAGGAAGCCGTTGATCAGGTTGGACAGTTTAGTCTTATTCTCCATCTTTTTATTTTAATTTTAAGTGGGGTAACCGTTGGATTTAAAGGTACATTTTGTGCCAGGCTTTGTACCTCAGTTGTCCATATTGTGGTCTAGCAGGGAAGAGTTCACCCAGCCTTCCATCTCCTGCTCCTACTGATCCAATGACCCCCTGCCCCCACCGGGCAGAGCTAGCCCTATCAGTGGATGCCCACATTATTAGTTCTTTGCCAGCAGCTCACACTACGTGGTTTACTTGACAGAGGCTCCTGGACACTGAGGAGAGTTGAATGAATTTGAAGAATGAGCATTTGAGCTAATTTCACAAAGGAAGAATGTTCCACAAAATGAATTCCTTTTACATTATTTGTGTCGCTTTCAAAAATGAAATTGCACATCACTATTGTAGACAATAAAATGTACATTATTAGCCTTACTATCAACATTTATATAGCTCCAGCATATTCCACAGTGCCTTACAATTATAGAAATTGGATGTTTAGAGGTACAGAGTGCAACGCTTCAAATCTGTGAGTGTTTGAGTTCGGCAGACAGCCAGGCAGTACAAGGTGCTAGCAGCTATATTCTAATTGCATTTAATTGTGAAAATCCACCACTATAGAGGATTAATTACAGCTATGGTGATAAGTCACATGCCGGAATGCAAGCGTCCAAATTATTATTTTTTTAATTCTTTATTTTTGTTCAGATCATACACAGATACAAACAAGCTTGTATTGCCATCACAGCATTAATTAACAATCATTATACTGTCAGACATTTTGAAACAGTAGCATGGCAAGTGAAGGAACTGCACATTTTTTTGAAAATCTGATATGAGTTAACAGTCGAGCATAAACCTGTGCGGTAAAGTTTGCAACAAGCGTAACGCATCATAAGGAACACCGCATTTGTGAGGATAATAATAAAACAAGTTAAATGAAAGTTTGTCAGATCATTGATAAAGTAATTCAAAAGAGGTGCAATAAAAGATTACTGATGTACTGCATCCCTCCGGCTGTGGAGTCCACAGGCCTCTCTTCCCACAGCCAGGGCAACGCCTTGAGATCCTGGGCGATAATGTATCCCCCAGGTGTCTGGACGGTGACATCCAAGTCTCTTAAACGAACACCCACTTGCATTGCATTCTGGAAGTCAATGTGAGTTCAGTTTCTGGCATCGTAGATAGCAGGAGACAAGAGTCCGGAAATTTAAAATTTTCTAGATTAATGGCATTTTGGAGTGGACAAGGGAATTTACAGTTGACCAATATATTCTGTCTCCAGACCCTTTTCGTTCCAAACCCAAAAGCTAGTCATTGGGTTTATGACCATCCTGAGTCAGTGTCTCTAATGAATGTGTTATTATCTAGGGACTCATCAATATGAGAAGAAACCCTAGGATGCTGATGGGTGTGTTTAATTGGATTGCTGTGAATCCCAGAATACGGCATTGTCCTGCCAAATAAACTCGGTATCTCTGTATAATCTGGAATTATTATAAATAATTATTAATAATCTCCTGTATCTCTGTATGTCAGTATAAAGGGTATAAACTTGCATTTCCTGTGACACACAGAATGACCAGTCCTCTCTGGTTCTAATTATTTAAAAAACGAATAATTCCATGATGTGTAAATGTCCTTCCTTGCTACCCCTGGGTGATGATCCCCAGAACTAAACCTCACATGATATTTTGCCAGCCTCAAAGTGACCCTGTCTGTACAGTTATGGGCATTGTAATTTAAAGTCTCTACTTTGATATCTGGATAGCAGTACTTTTAGTACTGAAAAATGTTTATTATACTGATACCACTCTATGTCAAGCAGCATAGACTCCCAATCTCTGTCACAGGATTGATGGCTGTTTCAGTAGAATGTCTCTACATGCTCTCACACTCATCGTCTGGCAATCTGGAGAGTTACCCACTGGTCTGGTATAGATTTGTAAAGCCAATGGCGATTTGCTGGGCCCTATGCATAGAGTAAACATCCTTATTTTATTTATTATTATAATTCATAGAGCTCCAACATATTCCACAGCGCTTTTCAATAATAAAACCTCTACTAGAGCAATGACTTCACTTTAACAAAACTTCATTATTCGATAGAGTGGTTCGGGGGGGGGGGTATAGCTGGTGGGAAACGTGAAGATCCGAAAGTGCAGCAGTTGGGTGGGGGTATAGCTGGTGGTAAACATTTAGATCAGGAAGTGGAGCGTTGGTTGGGGGTATAGCTGGTGGTAAACATTTAGATCAGGAAGTGGAGCGGTTGGTTGGGGGTATAGCTGGTGCGAAACATTTAGATCAGGAAGTGGATCGGTTGGGTGTTTGTATACCTGGTGGGAAATGTAAAGATCAGGAAGTGGAGCGTTTGGGTGGGTGTATAGCTGGTGGGAAACGTGAAGATCTGGAAGTGGAGCGGTTGGGGGTATAGTTGGTGGTAAACATATCAGGAAGTTCAGCGGTTGGGTGGGGGTATAGCTGGTGGTAAACATTAATATCAGGAAGTTCAGTGGTTGGGTGGGGGTATAGCTGGTGGTAAACATTAAGATCAGGAAGTGGAGGGGTTGGGTGGGGGTATAGCTGGTGGTAAACATGAAGATCAGGAAGTGGAGCGGTTGGGTGGGAGTATAGCTGGTGGTAAACATTAATATCAGGAAGTGGAGGGGTTGGGTGGGGGTATAGCTGGTGGTTAACATGAAGATCAGGAAGTGGAGCGGTTGGGTGGGAGTATAGCTGGTGGTAAACATTAAGATCAGGAAGTGGAGCGGTTGGGTGGGAGTATAGCTGGTGGTAAACATTAAGATCAGGAAGTGGAGCGGTTGGGTGGAGGTATAGCTGGTGGTAAACATTAAGATCAGGAAGTGGAGGGGTTGGGTGGGAGTATAGCTGGTGGTAAACATTAAGATCAGAAAGTGGAGCGGTTGGGTGGGGGTATAGCTGGTGGTAAACATTAAGATCAGGAAGTGGAGGGGTTGGGTGGTGATATAGCTGGTGGTAAACATGGAGATCAGGAAGTGGAGCGATTGATTGGGGGTTTAGCTAGTGGGAGACATGAAAATAAAGGGTGGTTGGAGGGGGCTATTGCTGGTGAGAGACTTATGAAGATCAGGAAATGGGTGGAACCCGGAACTGGAGTTCCTTTTTGTGGAATTCCTGGCACATAGATCTGGAGTTCCATTATCTGGATTGCCTGGCACCCGGATCTGGAGTTCATTATCTGGATTGCCTGGCACAGAGAGCTGAAGTTCCTGGTTGTACCATACATGGCTGGGTACATATTATGTTTAGATAGCTGTATATGTCTGTCTCTGCCAGTGGTGCGCCTTTGTGTCAAGTTGTCCTCTATTGTGTGGTTGTCTGGAATGACTGACATTACATTGGTTTCCCGTGTTTCTGGC